ACTTGCCGAAAGTTGAAGCTTGAATAGTTTATGTAAACTTGCAGAAATCTTGTAGTAAGATTAAAAAGTTGATTTAAGCTAAAAAAAAACTGACGAACAACTTGAGAAATTGATATAAACTATCAAGAAACTTTCAGAAAACTTGAAAATTTTATGAAAGCTTGCAGGCAACTTGCAATAACTTGCCAATTTGTATTTAAATGTGAATAAAGCTTGCAGAAAGCTTGAGAAGTTGATATAGGCTTACAGGAAACTTGCAGCAATATTGAAAAGTTCATGTAAACTTGTAGGAAACTTCTAGCAAGCTTGAAAATTTTATGAAAGCTTGCAGAAAACTTGAGAAGTTGATGTAGGCTTATAGAAAACTTGCAGCAATCTTCAAAAGTTTCTGCAAGCTTGTAGAAAACTTTTAGCAAGCTTGAAAATTTTATGAAAGCTTGCAGGAAACTTGCAAAAAGCTTTTAAAATTTATGTAAGCTTTCAGAAAAGTTGCAGCAAGCTTAAAAAGTTGATTTTAAATTGAAGGTAACTTACAAAAAGTTTAAAAAGTTCATGTAAGCTTGCAGGAAACTTTTCGGCAAACTTGAAAAATTAATGTAAGCTTCTGCATAGAAAACATGCTGCAAGCTTGATAAGTTTTCTCTAATTCAGAACATTTTTCGTATTGAAAACAGATAATTCATTCACTGCATTAATTTTCTTCTCTGCCACTCGCTTTGTGTCAAATTAGAAAAGGAGCTTTGTTAATTAGAAAGGATTAAACCGTGAAATGTAGGGGACAAAAATGCGTAAACAGATTTCGTTAATTGAAATAATGGAATCGAGAAATAATAACTAATAAAAAAAGGTAATTAATTATTTTTTCTCTTTTTTTTGTCGAAATTGGAAGAGAATTTGTCACTTTCGCGTTAGTGTCAAAAGGATAAGTCAAGAGACAGAATGTGCGGCGCATTATTATTATATTGAATTCAAGGATACGGAAAACTAAGTCGACCGCGAATGACAGTCGACGAAATGAGAAATCGAATATATAGGGTTAAAGCGTCCCTTTCCCTGAGGGCTTCGCATTGTAGGTTTATTAATTATGATGGCGAACCTCATATATAGCGCACCACTTTCATACTCTAGACGCAGACAATTCGGAAAAGGGACCGTATTGATTTGACCTTTGTGCAAAGGAGACATTTCCTTTTGTTAATTTGATAACTGATCGTTATTGTAACAGACGAGACGACCAAAAATTCCATGTTGCAGCAGACATTGTAATTAATCTAATCATCTAATGATATACATCTTGCTTTTTTTATTCCTTTTTTGCATATTTCTATTTTTACTTCCTTTTTTTTTACAAATAATTGAAAATTTAATTCAATCCTGTTAAATTATTCACGGAAAATTAATACTAAAATAAATAGGGGAGACTGGGGTAAACCCGCTCACTTTTTTTCAGATCGGCTAAAATCTAGGAAATTATTCTCTAAATCCAAGTTAATTTATATCATTTGAAAGCTTATGATTTCTACTGAAAAAATAAAAAGGAGTTTTTGATTTATCTTTTTTAGTTTTACTTAGAGAAACTTTTTAATAAACATATACCAAATTTCGAAATCACAATTTTCCAGGGTAAACCCGCTCACTTTATCTTTTCAAGACGGAACAGTTTTATTTTTTAAATATTAAAGTTATTGTTGAAATATAATACGTGGAATTATTTTATTATAAATTTTAAATTTAAAACTAAGTGAGCAGCTTTACCCCGACTTCACGTGAGCGACTTTACCCCGAGTGTATTTCTCACATTTCAGAATAAATTTAATTAAATCTTTTTAAAATAAGACAAAACTATATATGTACTTCGAAGAAGGACATCCAATAGCAACAAAAAAAATTTGCCAGATAAATTAAGACTCAAAAATAATGATCGAAAAACTTAAGAATCGAAAATACGTTTTTTTTCTGACACCTCTAAAAACATTTGATCGCCTCTGATTCTATGTTGAATTCATGAAACTAAACGAAAGTTCGTTAATATAAGTTGAATGTTAAGTACTATTCACAGTACCAATATCTCCATCTTAAGTTGAGTTTATAGCGTAAAATCGCTAGTGAGCGGGTTTACCCTGTGAGCAGGTTTACCCCAGTCTCCCCTACTATAAAATAAATACTCAAAAAAATTTTAATTATAATTTTTACTAACGAAAAATTCTAAAATTTGTACGATATAATTTTGGAGATTTTAAAAAAGTTAGAAATTATTGCAGAAATTCAATTATTTTCAAAAATAATAAAACTATTCGCGGAAATTCAATTTTGTTTAAAATTTTGTTTAAATTCTCGTCAAAGATTTTATTTTCTTTAGCAATAATTAAATTCTTCTCCGAAATTCAATTACTTTCAAAAATTTTAATAAAATTCATGGCAAAATTAAAAAAAAATTTTAATAAAATTCTACGTAAACATTTAATTATTTTCATAAACAATAAAAATTTTACAGAAATCAAATTATTTTTAAATATTTGTTATAAAATTCTTCGCAGAAATTCAATTATTTTTAATAATAACAAATTTTTTGGGTAGAAATTCAATTATTTTCAAAAATAACAAAATTTTTAGCAGAAATTCAATTATTTTCAAAAATTGTCATAAAATTCTTCGCAGAAATTCTACTACTTTTGTAAATTTATTACTTTTATAGTGATAAACAACTCCACCAAATATTTTTAAAATTTTGAAAATTACCAAAAATATGTCATTTTCAAAATTTTTGTCTTTTTTTTAAAAAAGTACTATAACTTTGGTTCTAATTAACCGATTTTGGATTTTAAAAAAAGGATTTCTTATCTTTGGTTTTAAGTATATTTTAAGTTAAAATTAATATTAAAAAAAAATTCAAAAAAAATTTTTTTTTGAAATTTTGAAAAATTAAAAATCCGTTTTTGAAAAAACATCATCTTTGATTTTTTTCAAAATTTTACTAAATGTTAGGGCAAATGTGCTTTACATGTCCTGTAAGTTTCATCTTGGGATCTCAAAGGGATTCGGAGTAAAAAAATAAAACGTAACCACAAATTACGAACATATGGGGCAAAATTCCTCAACTGCCCAGGTAAAAAAATGAATTTTCTCTAAACTTTACTAAAATGTTACTATTATTAGTAGAAGTGTAAATATAAATTTTTTTTGAATTTGATAAAATATTTTTTAAGTTATGGAGTTTCAAAATTTTGATTTTTTTGAAAATATCTTTTTTTCGATTCAATATATTTATAAGTAAAATTAATGAAATTTAAAGTATGAATAGTGATTTTTAAAGGGGTTTTCACGGGCTATAAGCTGGTGATGAAAAAAAAGTTGTTTTCTGTCAATTTTACCTTGAAATTCAAGGTATCAATGTAATTTATCCCAACAAGTCATGAAAATAAGTGTGTTGAACTGACATGGAATCCACCAAAGAACAAAATTCTTAGTAGGAATTAAATTATTTAAAAATTTTTTTTTACAAAATTTTTCAAAGAAATTAATATATTTTTAAAAATTGTAATATATTTCTTGTCAAGAATTCAATTATTATTATTAAAAATATCAAAATTCTTCCCAGAAATTCAATTATTTTCAAAACTTTGAAATAAAGTTCTTGGAAACAATTTAATCATCTTTTAGCAGGAATTAAATTATTTTAAAAAATTTTCATAAAATTCTTCAGAGAAATTCAATTATTTTCAGAAATTTTAAAAAACTTCGTTGAATTCTCGTAGAGTTTTCTATTAAAAATTGATTTAAAAATGAATTTCAGTTCAAATTTAGGATAATAATTGAATAATATTAAAAGTATTATAGCGTGAATTTTCAGCAATAATTTAATTTTGAAAAGTTTGCAAATTAAAGTTTTAGGAAAATTTGAATTTTTCATACTTTTAACCAACAATTCTGTAGAATTATTATTTTTTTTTAAAGTTTAATTGAATTTTTTTAAAATTATTTGAATTTTTTATATTTCTACAATACATTTAATTGAATAATTTCCGAATTATCGAAATTGCACGTTTTGTATTGTTAAGAAATGGATTTCAAAATTCTCAAAAAGAACTTTTTCGAAAATTATTAAATTTAGGGAAGAACTTTTGTTAAATCTGCAATTCTTCTAGAATTCAATAATTTTTTGGTTGAATTTTGTAGATAAAATTAGTATTCAAAAGTTTTATTATTTTTTAAGAAAATGATAAATTAATAATTTTTTCAAAATAAAAATTTAAATATTACAGATTTACAACAATTGAAATTTTCAAAACATTCAATTTATAAATCTTTTGATATTTAATTATTTCTATAAATCTCTACTATGACGCTTCTAATATTATATTATGATATCTAAGATTTTTACTGAAATTAATTTTTAAATCAATTTTTATCAGAAATTTTTACGAGAATTAAATTTTATTTAAATAAAAAAATAAATAATTTATTGAATATTTCTTAAAATTGCATTCTTTTGAAGAATTTTAATAAAATTTTTAATAATTGCAGTTTAAAAATGTGAAAAAGGAGTCCTTATTCTGGAAAAAATTTCAATAATATGCGCAGGTGTACATATGAGCATGGCATAAAAAATATATAAAATATTTATATTTATTACGTTTTTTTTGTTGTATACAGAGATATAACGATTTCATAAATTCTTGAAGAATGAAATGCTTTGACTTTCAAAAAATCGAAATATTGAAAAATATTATTTTATTGCAAATTAATTTTTTTTTTAGTAGCAAATATTAAATGCTGCAAATAGAAAGATGTAGAACAATATTGTTTTTAAATTTTTAAATTTGTGCTTCTCTTTATTTATTGAACATTTTTTAATTTATTTTATGCACATTTACTGCTTGAAAATTTTAACTCTATGGAAAATATATAAAAGCTGCTAATCAGAGATCCAAAAAAATCTGATGTAATAATAATAATAATAATAATAATAATGAATTAAAATATTAGGTACTAATAATAGAAAATATATTTTTCTTGCAATTCTTTATTGACAAGATTATTTATACAACAATATTTAATATTGAGGACATCGATTAGTAATAATAATTTCTGATCATTTTAATTAATAAAAACAGTTTTAAAGAGAAACAAATTCATAAAAAAGGAATAATTATTTTGGAAATTATTAAATAATGAATCTGGTTTGGAAAGTTTGCTCTTTTAAGGTAATTCTTGCTTTGTAAAATAGCTACCTTTTCTGCCAAATCTTTTTGCCTGAAATGAAAATGAATTTTTAAATTATTAATTTTTATTCAAAAAAATATTTGGCGTCTATTTTCCCTTGCGAACTTAAATTTGTCTTTTTAATATAATAGATATTCAAAATATTCGAAAATTTCAGTTTTTTTAAACTTAACTAATTTATGTCCCTGAAGTTAGCGTCGCTGCTGAGCGTTGAAAAATATTTTTTTCATGAAACCGTAAAGGATAAAACAATTTTTTAAAAAAATATAATTTAGAGAAGTTTTTAATTCTCTATAGGCAAAAATGTAAGATTGCTGATATTTTGAACTTTATCTAAAAGGGCTGAAAAATAATTTTCGATACTGATTATCGACGCTAACTTCAGAGAAATGCTAATTAAATTAAAGATTAAAGTTTTACCCTTAATTCTGCCAGATCTTCAACAGCAACACTAGAGTGTCGTCTGATTGAGGCAGCTAAATTTCTTTCTAACGAATCCTCATCCTCAGAATCCTGTTGGTAAAATGGCAAATCAGAAATAAGATGATTTACTGTTAATTAATACTTTTGTTATGTGAAATTATGAAATCATTTTTTTTCTGCTACAAGCTTGCAAATTTTGCGCTTTTTAGTTAGCAAAACTTGGGGGATAAAGTAATTCATTTATCTAACCGTATGAAATTCCAAAGAATCAGTAGAAACAGCACCACCCCAAGCACCTTGCTCGTCTTCCGCTGAGTTTGAAACATTTGGTTCAGTTCTCTAAAGAAAAAGAAAATATAACTGCAAATTACGAATCATTTTTTAAAATTGAATTTTTATGAAGAATTTCATCAAAATTTTTAATAACAATTGAATTCTTTCGGATAATTTAAAAAAAAAATTATAAGAATAAATACAATTTTCTATCATTTTATTTCAAATTTTATAAAAATAATTGAAATTCTGCGATAAGTTTTGTTATTTATAAAAATAATTGAATTCTTGCAACAAGTTTGATTAAAAATCTTTTTAAAGAATTGAATTCCTGTGAAGAATTTTATTTGTCAAAATAATTGAATTCCAGAGAAAAATATTATTATTTATGAAAATAACTAATTTCTTGTGAAGAATTTTATTCAAATTTTTTTAAATAATTGAATTTTTCAGAATTTTTAAAAACTTTTTAAAAATAATTAAATTTTATTAAAAAATTGAAAATAATTGAAATCTGACAAAGAATTAAACAAATTTTTTTTAAATAATTGCATTCCTGTGAAAATGTTTATTTTTGAAAAAAATTGAATTCTTGGGAAGAATTTTATTAAAATTTCTTAAATAATTGAATTGCTTAGAAGAATTTTATTTTTTACAAAAATAATTGAATTGTTTCGAAGAGTTTTACAGACATTTTTAACAATAATTGTATTTGTAGAAAAATGTTGTATTTTACGATAATAATTGTATTCTATGACCGATTTTATTATAATTTTTCAAATTTATAAATTATTTTATCAAAATTTTTAGAAATAATTGAATTCTCAAGAAAGAAAATAATTGATTTTTAGCGAAGAATTTGATTCAAATTCATTTAAATAATTGAATTCCCATAAGAAATGTATTATTTGTGGAAATAATTGAATTCTTAAGAAGAAATGTATTGAAAACAATTGAATTGTATAGGAAAATTTTATTAAAATTGCAATTTAATGAAATAAATCTTTTAAAGAATTTTGTTAACATTTTTTTAAATAATAGAATTATTAAAAGAATTTTATTTAAATTTTTTGAAATAATTGAATTTCTCAGACTATTTTTTTCAATTTTCTTTATATGTTTGAATTTTTTCGAGAAACTTCATTAAAAAATTTAAAATAATTGAATTGATGAGAAGAAATTTATAAAACAAATTCATAAGTAATTGAATTCCTGATAAATTTTTATTAATATTTTGTTCAAATAATAGAATTCTTTTGGAAAATTTTATTAAAATAGTAGATATGAAAAATAATTGAAATAAGGAAAATTTTTGAAAATAATTGAAATTTGGCCAAGAATTTTATTAAATTTTTTGAAAATAATTGAATTTTGGAGAAGAATTTTATTATTTATAAAGATAATTGAAATTTGGACGAGAATTTAAAAAAATTTTTGAACATAATTGAATATATGCGAAGTTATTTAAAAGTTATTTAAAAAGAAATTATTGTCAAAAATAGAAATAATTGAAGGGTTTGTATTATAATTCTTGTCAATTTCATAGTTTATAAGGCAAACAAAAAAGACACCAAAATTCAGAATTTTCCTATTTATGTAAGCGCTTCTTAAAATTAGATTATCGTTTTCTCTGTAAATGGAAATTTAAATTACTTTATCTATACTTACAGTCGTTTCATAATTTATCAATTCCTTCCAAAAACTTGATGAAATTTCCAAAAGTCTCTCAATGATCTACAATAGAAATGAAAGAAAAAAAACTATTGTCATTTAATTTTAAAATTAAAAATTTATAATGATTTATAAATTTTGAAATTAAACAAGTATCTGCCTTCGTTTTTTGGGAATTTAAAGCAAGTTCTGCCATTTGATCATCAAGCTTAAAGTCCATCAAAGTTGGTCCAAAGACTATACCAATGTTCCCAGCAGTCATTCTGTTGATCTCGTGATGTTTCACTACTTTTTGCAAATGTACTATTAAATAAGCAAGAGTATCACGAATATTTTGAGGAAGATCTGTTATTATTTCTTTCATTTTCATTTCCGATTCTTCGACGTCCTCTATATTCATGGCACTTGAAAGTTGATTGAACGTTGCTTCATCGATAAGTGAAGTTCTCAAATCACTAAAAATGGAATTTTATTGTAATTTTGTTTTTATTGTATTTTAGTGAATGCAGGGCTCGAACTAGATAGTAAAAAATTTTAGATCCCTTTACAGTACCAAAATTAAGATATTTTGATTTAAATTTTGAACTATGTATGTGATTATTTCTTTGTTCGTATAGTGTCTGTATTTTCAAATACTTTCACTGGTTCGAGCTCTGTGAATGTTATGAATAAAAATTTACCGGAAAAGTGATTTCAGATATGATGTAATTACATTTAAATTATATTCCGATATATCCGAGTCCAAAGAAAAACAATTTTGTGCCAACTTTTGTACTTCAGTTTTACTACCAGATAAGCGATATAATCCTTCTTGTTGCATTCCAGATTTTTCCACTTCTTCTACCAATTTTATTATAAGTGGATGTACCGTTAATCTATTAACGGGACGTCCATTTCTACCCTAAATGTAATCAGTTTTTGTAAATTTCGTTAAACTCACATAAGAAACCCTTGTAAAAATAGGTTGGTTATCTCAAGGCTAAAAACTAGCCTAAGACTTAACAAAACTTAACTTAAACTAAAACTTTACCTATGACTTAAGATGTCTTGAGCTTTAAGTATAAGTCTTGAGCTACTTTTAAATTTGTAGCTAAAATTTTTTGTTACATAATTCTTATTTTCATTTTCATCTTTTAAAAACTTTGCTAACTTCATTTGTATACCTAAAATTATTCAAAAACATCAATAACTTCTTTTTTAAATAAATATTTAATTATTATTACTATTTTTCCACAGAAATTAAGATTTTCAAAAATTTCAAATTCAAACCTTTTTGAAATTAAACAGCTTATAAAAGTATTATTATTATTATTATTTTATATTAAGAATATTGTTTCTGTAACTTCTTTAAAATTATTTTCATCATTTCAATTCAATTATTATTTTCTAGAGTTTTTAACTAAAATTCTTCTCTAAATCAACTGTTTTTAATAATTTTTGAAAAAGTTCATTGAGAATTTGCAAATACATTTGATTAAAATTCAATTTTACAAAAATTCGATTATTCGGAAATACTTCAATTAAATACACTGTAAAAAAAATTTTGGAAATTTTCCCAAAAAAATTTAGGAAGCAAATTTTACTAATTATTTTAAAAAATTTACTAACATAAATAAGGGAATTTTTCTAAAAAAAATTATCGAAAACTTCCTATGAATTTAGAAACATTCTCATGAAATAGCGTAGAAAAAATCCCAAAAGTTTGGAAAAATTCTCTTAAACGTTTAGGAAAATTTCCTTATATAAAAATATGGGGGAAATTTCTGAGAATTTGGAAAAATAACCATATTTGGAAAAATTTTCATGTAACTTCAAATTATTTTTAAAAAAAATTAAATTAAACTTTTTCAAAAAAATGAATTCTTCAAAATTGTCACTTAAAAGTATAGAAAATTCAAATTTTCAATGATTTTCATTTGAAACCTTTTCAAAATTATTCAATTATTTAAATACAAAAGTAAATAATTTATTCAATAATTAAATGTTTTTTAAAGTTTAATTCTTATAAAGAATTTTATTAACAAATTTTTAAATAATTGAATTCTTTTGACGAATTTTAATCAAACTTTTAAGAATAATTACATTTTTCGAAAAATTCGATTAAAATTCTACTAAAAATTATTAAAATTCTGCGATGAGCTTTATTATTTCTGAAAATAATTTAATTCATAAAATTTTTTATTTATGAAATTAATTGAATTATTGCGAAGAAATTTATAAAAAAAATTTTAATTAATGAATTTCTATGCAATTTTTACTATTTATGAAAAAATTAAATGTTTAAATACAATTTCATTAAATTTTTTTTTTAAATAATTGAATCCTTTTAGGAAATTTATTAAAATAGTTGATATTAAAAATCATTGAAATGAGAAAAATTTTTGAAAATTATTGACTTTTGGAGAAGAATTTTGTTATTTATAAAGATAATTGTGATTTTGACTAGAATTTTTCTTTAAATTTAAATTTTTGAAAAACTCCTTCATTTGGTTAATTTTTTTTTATGGTGATAGTATATACCACAAAAAAAGTTTTTTGCTGAGGATTTTTAGTAATTTTTTTTTTTTTGAAAATGAATGTCTTTTATAGCCTTTACTGGAGGCATTTGTTTATTGACCTAAAAAGAATTTAAATTGTAATTCTTGTGATAATATCGTTTTCGGGAAATTTAATTTACGGATTATTGTCTTTTAGGTTTTCGGATTTGAGTTCGCAATGTTTTTAAATGATGAAAAATGATAAATTTTAGCTACAAATTTAAATTATAATATTTATATAGTATAGTATTATATGATTTGTAATTTTTGTTTTTTGATAAAAAAAAAACAAAAAATTTTGATTTTTTTTACAAAAAAGCAAAGTATTATATAATATTTATATAGTAAAGTAAATCATAAAATAGTAATTTAGTTAAACTTACTTTTCCCCTCGAATGTGGCGTTCCAATTACTAGATCGGTGGTAAAGAAAACAAGAAATAGAAAATGTTTTAAAGAAATCATTTCTCCAAGAATTAAATAATAATATTTTCACTGATGATATATTTTAAGATGTAATATTATCTTGGAAAGATTGAGTTAAATTTCAGTTATTAAGTATTAGTACTTTTTTTTAATAAAATAGTTTACTAAAGAAAAATACTTGAAAATTTGCAGTAAAGTGCAAAAATGGTTGCTACTTGATCGTCTTTCAAAGGCGTGCGGCTTTTATAAAAAAAAAGCAATAACGTACTTATCAAATTTATTGTTAGTATACTTCTTTTCTGCATTAAAGTGATAATAATATTAGAAATTTTCTGAAAATACATGACTTTGAATTCGAAAAATTGAAAATTTTACTTTTTACTGCTTTAAAATTTTTATTAAAAAAATTGACTCTTCTGGATATTTTGCATAATTTTTATAAATATGTAATTTTTGTCCGCCATATTGGACCCGCCATTTTGTATTTCGTGAAACTGACATCGGCTTCGTAATCAATGAACTTAAAAATCCTTTAACATCAAATTTTTACAAAAATCACATTACTTTAAAAAATTTAGTCTTTTAAAGTATTAAATCAGGATAAACAAATCTTACAAAAATTATTTTTGAATCATAGTCACATTTATAATTAAAATTCTTTAAAAATTCGATTATTTTTATATATATTTTTCAAAAATTCAATTATTTTTAAAGGATTTTACAAAATTTCAATTTAAAAAACTATTATCTTTAAAAAATTATTCAAAAATATTTTTAAAAAATTAATTGTAAGAATTTTTTTAATATAATTTTTTGAAAATATTATATCTTAATAATTTAAAAAAAAGAACTTATTAAAAATTTTTTAATTTATTTCATGCACATTTTTACTGCTTTAAAATTTTGACTCGAAGAAAAATTTATTTTATATTTAAAAATACATAGCTCATAATCAGAGACCCTGAAAACTCTGATGCAATAATGCGTAAAAATATTAGGTACTAATAAAAGAAAATATATTTTTCTTACAATTCTTTATTGACAAGAATAATAATACAATATTTTATATATTGGAGACATCAATTATTAATATAAATTTTATAATAATTTTCTTACGGTAATAATTACATTTCATTCTGTATTTTATTTCCCTGAATTTTTCCTAATTATTATCAAAAATATTTTCTTTTTTCTTATCCTGATAATAACTTCAATTTAAGTTTTTGCAACATTTAATTACTTTTTCCAAACTTTAATTTAAAATTCTTAAAAAAAATTACATTTAAAAAAAAATGAATAAAATTTTATAACGTAAAATTTATTTCAATTCATAATATTTTCAATTATATTGAAAATTTAATTTTAATCATATATTTTAAATTATTTACGGGAAATTAACTATCAAAAACAATTTTAATTATAATTTTTCAAAATTAATTTTTTTCATAATTTGTAAATTTAATTATATTCAAAACTGAAATAATATTTGTTAAATATTTATTTAAATACTTATTAATTTTTCCACTTATTTTTTTCAAATATTTCAAATGATTTCATTTTGAGGCCTTTTTGAAATTTAACTATTTCTAAAAATAAAAAAATGTAATTCTTCCAAAATGCAATAACTTTTTTGGTTGAATTTTGAAATAAAATTTTGTATTCAAAACTTTTATTGTTTCTTAAGGAAATCATAAATTAATAATTTTTCAAAATAAAAATTTATATATTACAGATTGACAACAATTAAAATTTTCAAAAAATTCAATTTAAAAATCTTTTGAAATTTAATTATTTCTATAGATCTCTACTATGATGCTTCTAATATTAAATTATTATCTAAAACTCTAACTAAAATTCATTATTAAAATCATTTCTTATTAAACAGTTTTACGAGAATTAAATTATTTAATTAAAAAAATAAATAATGTATTGAATATTTGTCAAAATTAAATTCTTTCAAAGAATTTTAATAAAATCTTTTTTTTTTGAAAAATTTTCAATACTTACGCAAGTGTACATATGAGCATGGCCAGAGAGAAACTGAGAGTACGCACGTAATGCAAATCGCTCTTTCCTTTGAAAGTCTGCCCCCTCGCGGCCAAAAGTCCCAAGCTTAGGTGGTTGGCTATATATATTGCCTAAATCGGTGAGCTTGCACACATATGTAAAACGCAATGGCTAAGCCGAAGTACAATCGGAAGCACTCGTGATCGCTCGGAAAATGCAAGGAACGCGAACGCGAGGAATAGAACTAAAAAGAGGTTATGACAATGTTTTGACATTTGTACACATCATTTATGCAAAGTTTTTTGTGGTTTTTATGCTGATAAAATTTTGCATTTACACCAAAATTTGCAATAGTTTAATGTGATAGATAACAATAAATTAATTTCCAGTTTAAATCCGGCACTTTTGCCTATTTAAAATTTCTAGTTTCAGAACTATACAAATTATGATACATATACACAAAATTTCAGAAGCATTAATTCCCGAAAGACTTTTACAGTACATATTTATACACTTTTTTAAGTGAAATATATAAAAATTATTTCATCAGGAATTTGAGCGTATAACATTTTAATTAAGGCTTTTTATTTTGACATATATTTGATTAAATATTTATAGGAAAAAATTCTTCTTTAGAAAAAGAGGAATTAAAATTGGCAAATAAATATTGTGTCGTCAATAATTCTAATTATCAACATTTATCAGTATTTTTAATTTTTATACTAAGCGATTTAAATCTTTCTATTACATAAATAAGGGTAAATTCGGGAATTTTATCAAAAGCACTGGAGAAAATATTAAATTTCCAAAATTGAGAAAAAAATTCTCATTTTTGCCATGTCCAGCAATCTTTGACAATATTGAAAGCATTTAGGAATTTTTATTAATTCGCTTTCTAAATTTTGGAATCATTCCTAATTTTTATACAAAACTTTTGACTTTTTCCATTTCTGACAATAACGGAAATTTACGTTATGTTAATGTTTCAAATAAAAGTTTACAATTGGAAATATTCACAAGTCAAATAAATGTCAAAAAGTCAAAATTCTATCTGGAATACAGGAAAAATCGAACAAGAATAAACTATAAGTATACGAATTAGTAAAAATATTTACTAATTTAAATCAGTGACTAACTTTTTGCTTTTGAATTACTACATTTTAATAATAAATTAGTAAAATTTAAAAATTACTATTTATTAGTAAATTAGTAAATTAATGAAAATTAGCTTCTAGTTTTTTAAAATTCAATATTTTCAGCATTTTCTATTACATTTCCGAAAATTCAATTGCATACAAAAAATAATAACATTTCAGAATTATTTTTAACATTCTTAAGAAAAAAAATCATGTTCAAAATTTTTAATTGAAATTCATAAAAAAATTAATTAATATTTTAAATTATACACAAATCCTTTTGATAAATTCAATTATCTTCGAAAAATTACATAAAAATGTTTTTAAAAACTAATTTTTACAATTATTTTTAATAATATTTTAAGATTGAATTCAACAATGTAAATTCAAACAATGTATATAAAAATTATTTAAAAATATTTTTAAATAATTAATTGTAAGAATTTCTATGTCATTTTTTAATAACTTAAGAAAAAACTGTAGAGCGTTACAATTATTATTAAAAAAGTGAGTTTTTATTTTAATAATTGAATTTTAGAAGAACTTTTGAAAAATTATTTAAATTAATTGATTCAGAAAATAAGTTTAGTTTAAAATTGTATAAAATATTTGAATTCAGGATGGGTTATAATTGTAATTTTTATAAATTATTAGAATTCATAAATTTTACTCATTTTCCGTAAACATTCATATTTTCCTGTAAAAAGAATTTTGTCAGGGAAAATAATTTTAATGTCAGTAAATTGTCAGGGAAATTGATAAACTGAAACTTGTGACCACCCTGATTTAAAAAAATAAAATTTACAAATTAAAAAGCGAAAAGTCAGACACTGATTGAAATTAGTAAACATTTTTACTAATTCAAAAGTAGAGAGTACTTATACTAATAAATATCTATACACACATTATGATTAGAAAAAATTTAATTTAATTAAATTTGCTTAATTCTTCGCAATTAATTCCACACCGAAAAATTCTAACCTACAAAAAAAATAATTTTGGATGCTTTAATTTAATTAATTATTAACCTTAAATTAAACATTATTCAAATCTACACAAATCAATACATTTTTAAATAAATAATAATCAATTTTTAAAAAAATAAATTAAAATATTAAGAAATTAATTCCATCTCCCTAAAGTAAATGTATATAAAAAATTAAGAATTAAATTAAATTATATTTAATTATATTGTGTAGAATTTTTTTTGTAAAACTTTTGTGGGTATAGAGATAATTTTCTAAAATTAATTTGAAGAGAAATTCAAATTCAAAAAATCTATAAGTCAAAAGAATTTAATGATTTTCTGAAAACTGCATTATTTATTTGTGTAGAATTATTTAGTGTTTAACGGCGTAGACTCAATTATATAAAATTATATAAAAATTAATTCAAGATGAACTATACAAATTTAATAAAATGAAATTTTATTTAAAATCAATTTTAACAAAAATTAATTAATTTTTTCTCTTAGGTATGTTTACACTAATTATTATTTTTAAAAAAATTAATTAATTTTATTAAATTAAATTTTTATTTTTACTTGAATTAATTTTAATTAATTAATTAAATTTCTTAAAAATTAATTTTTATTCTTTTCACTTGATTTATTAATTATATTACTTATTGTGTAATAATTTTCAAATCGCAATAGTAAGATTGAATAAAAGAAGCACGCACATATTTCGCTGTCCTTCTCTTTTTCTTTCTCAGCATTGCGATATTACTTTCGGGTTTCGGGACTCAAAATCATTTTTCGGCCTATTATCAGATTAGTTCAGTTCTATTCTTCGCGTTCCTTGCATTTTACGAGCGAACACGAGTGCTTCCGATTGTACTTCGGCTTAGCCATTGCATTTTACATATGTGTGCAAGCTCACCGATTTAGGCAATATATATAGCCAACCACCTAAGCTTGGGACTTTTGGCCGCGAGGGGGCAGACTTTCAAAGGAAAGAGCGATTTGCATTACGTGCGTACTCTCAGTTTCTCTCTGGCATGGCATAAAAAATGAATAAAATATTTATTGTTATTTTATTTCTTTTTGTTGTATACAGAGATAATTACATTGATTTCGTAAATTCTTGAAGAATTAATTTATTGCTTTGACTTTCAAAAATTCGAAACATTGAAAAATGTTATTTTATTGTAAATTTATATTTTTTGTTAGCAAATATTAAATGCGGCAAATAGAAAGATGTAGAACAATATTGCTTTTAAATTTTTAAATTTGTGCTTCTCTTTATTCATTAAACATTTTTTAAATTTATTTTATGCACATTTACTGATTGAAAATTTTAACTCTATGGAAAATATATAAAAGCTGATAATCAAAGATCCAGAAAACTTTGGTGTACACGGAGAGAGAATATATATTAAATTTTGTAAAAATATTTTCAAATTGGGGAAAAAGTGCAACAAAGCGAAATTTTGATATAGAAAATACTAAACTTTAAAAAAAGTTTTGCGAAATTTACTAAAGTTATATTAGAATTTAATTAATATTCTTGATATTTGATATAATATTATACTAAATTTCACATAAATTTTTTTAAAGTTTAGTATTTTTTATATCAAAATTTCGCTTTGTCGCACTTTTTCCCCAATTTGAAAATATTTTTACAAAATTTAATATATATTCTCTCTCCGTGTAATAATGAGTTAAAATATTAGGTACTAATAATAGAAAATAGATTTTGCTTGCAATTCTTTATTGACAAGATTAATAATACAATATTTTATATATTGGGGACATCAATTATTAATATATTCTCCCATAATTTTAATCAACGAAGACAGTTTTAAAGAGAAAAACATTCACAGAAAAAACAATAATCTAATTTCAAGACGAGCCTACTTAAATAGGAGCCAAGAATATTCTCCACTTAAATTAAGTGAGAAATATTCTTACAATAAGATTGATATTCTAATTGTAAGAATATTTCTCACTTAATTTAAGTGGGGCCACTTAATTTAAATAGAGAATATTCTTGGCTCCTATTTAACTAGGTTCTTCTTAAAATTAGATTATCGTTTTTTCTGTGTTCACAAAAAACACTAATTTATTTTAGAATGTATTATATTGTATTGTTGCCTGAAATGAGAATGAATTATAAAAATTAAATTTTCCATTCAGCGTAGCCGTATGTGTCATAAACTGTAACTTAAATTTATCTTCCTAATATAATAGATAAGCATTTAAAATACTTGAAAATTTAATTATTAAGATTAATTTATTCAACAGTTTTAAAGTTTAAAATTTTACCTTCTTTTTTGACGATCTGCCTGAATCAGACAGTCTATTGATTGCTTCGTCTGTATTTAAATTTAAAAGATCTTCTGGAGCCTGTTTATAAAATAAGAAATAAGATAATTTACTTTCTGTCAACTGAAAATATTAAATAATTTTTTATGCGGCGTCTGCTTTAACTATACTTACAGTCGATTCATAATTTATGAATGCTTTCCAATAACTTGAAGGAATTCTCAAAAATATTCTAATGATCTATAATAGAAATAAAAGAAAAACTATTGTTATTGAACTTGAAATGAAAATTTTGTGATTAAGATTAATAAATTTAAAAGTATTAAAATATATCCCTGCCTTTTCTCTGTCGGTATGAACTAACAAGCTTTCTTCACCTGGATAACGCATCAGAATAAGTGAAAAAATGGAAGCAATTTTCTCCTCAGTCATTTTATTTATCTCCTGCAGTTTCACTACTTTTTTTAAATGTATAATTAAATAAGCAAGAGTATTTCGAATATCTTGAGGAAGTTTAGATAATATTTTTGAGATTTCATATTCCCATTGACTTAATTTTTGAAAGTTTAAAAGAACTTTTAATTTGCTAAACGTTGCTCTATCGATAAGTGATGGTTCCATACGCCTAAAAATGAAATTTTTCTTGTAATTTTGCTTTTAATTATAATATTAGTAAACGTTATGAATATAAAAATTGCCTTAGTTCTCTTTGGAGACATAATGTCATTACACGAACATCATATTGCGATATATCCGTTGTTGGATCAAGACAATCTGTTGGCAAATTTATCCTTTTAATTGATTTATCATCGTCAGAATATAATCCTTTTTGTTTCATTCCAGTCTCTTCCACTGCTTCTATCAATCTCTTCAAATTTGTATATTGTGTCATAGATGGTTGCTAGATGGTAATTTAATTTTTTTAATTAAATTCATTGAAAAACACATTTTTGGTTGGTAACATTTTTGAATATTTCATGAACGTTTTGTAAAGTATTTTAATTTTTTAAACTTTATTTTGAATCGGATTATAATTGCAGTAGAATGATTACTGATCATTCACTTTTTGTGGCACTTCGGAGTCAAAATGAATCATGGAATACACTAGACTGAACAGCCTTCAGATATTACCTCATTTGAAGCTGAAAATTCTTCACGAGGAGCACCACCCCAGGCACCTTCTTCTTCCCCTAAATTTGTAGATTCATTGTTCTAAACAAGAAGAAAATAACGTTATAAATTAAAATTACTTTCCACTTAATGATAATCACCAGCAAGTGATACATAAAAAAGTATTAAATATTTATTAGGTTTTAGTAAATTAGAGCGGCGTCTGCATTATCTATACTTACAGTCGATTCATAATTTATCAATGTCTTCCAATAACTTGAAGGAATTCTCAAAAATATTCTAATGATCTATAATAGAAATGAAAGAAAAACTATTGTTATTAAACTTGAAACTAAAATTTTGTGATTAGGATTAATAAATAAAAAAATTTATAAATGTATCCCTGCCTTCTCTCTGTCGGCATCAGCTAACAACCTTTCTTCACCTGCATAATGCATCAGAATAAGTGAAAAAATGGAAGCAATTTTCTTCTCAGTCATTTTGTTTACCGCGTGCAGTTTCACTACTTTTTTTAAATGTATAATTAAATAAGCAAGAGTATTTCGAATATCTTGCGGAAGTTCAGATAATATTTTTGACATTTCATTTTCCAATTCTTTTAAATTTTTTAATCTTGCAGCAACTAGTAATTTTTTAAACGTTGCTCTATCGATAAGTGATGGGTTCAAACGCCTAAAAATTAAATTTTTCGTAATTTTGCTTTTAATTGCAATATTAGTAGACGTCAGGGCTATAAAATTCACCTTAATTCTCTTTGGAGACATAATGCCATTGCACGAACATCATATTGCGATATATCTGTGTTAGAAACAAGACAATCTTTTGGCAACGTTGCCATTTCATTTGACTCATCGTCGTCAGAATATAATCCTTTTTGTTTAATTCCAATCTTTTCCACTGCTTCTATCAATCTCTTCAAATTTGTATATTTTGTCATACCTGATGGCTAAATGGTTATTCAATTTTTTAAATGAAATTTATTGAAAAACACATTTTGGGTGCTAACATTTTTGTATATTTCATGAACGTTTTGTAAAGATTTTTAATTTTTTAAACTTTGTTTTAAGTCGGATTATAATTGCAGCAGATTGATTATTACTAATTGATCAAAATGGGTCATCCGTAAAACATGTGATATTTTATGGGGTGATGAACATGTTACTTCTTAGCAATTAACTCTTAAGTAATAACTAATTAAAAATTTTAAAACTGGAAAATAAGAGATAAATTTGTTTTGAAAAAAATAGTTCCAAAGAATAGAAATGAAAAACTATTGTTATTCAATTTTGAAATTAAAAAATTATAGTTTTTAATTTTGTTATCTCTTATTAAAAATTGCTAATTGTTTCTAAGGGGTCATCTGTAAAATATGTAATTACCTCATTTGAATCCAAAGGACCAGCAGTAACCGAAGCGCCTTCTTGTTCTTCATCTGAGATTTCACTAGCGGATTCAATATCCTCAGGAGCAAGAAAATAAAACTGCAAATAAAATATAATTACAATCCACTAAAACAGATTCATTAGGAAGTGATTCTTATAACGATACCTTCGAAATATACATAAAATTTCCTTTGGATTTTCAGAGGAAATGTGAATTACTTCATTTATACTTACGACCGATTCAGGATTCTTCAATTCCTTATAAAAACTTGATGGAATTTCCAAAAGTTTCTTAATAATCTAAAATAGAAATGAAAGAAAAACTATTATAGTTTAAGTTTTAAATTAAAAATTGTAATTAAAATTTATGAATTTAAATATTAAAAAATATTTATCTGCCTTAATTTTTTTTGGATCAATGTCACGCATTCTTTGTTCATCAGGTTTAAAATGCATTAAAGATAACCTAAAGGCATTAGCAATTATCTTCGGTGTCATTCCGTTTATCTCCTGTAGTTTCACTACTTTTTTCAAATGTCTCATTAAATAAGCAAGAGTGTAACGAATTTCTTGCGGAAGGTCATATAATATTTCTTTCATTTTATCTTTTAATTCTTCCGAATTTTCAATTTCCAAGGCATCTGAGAGTTGATTGAATGTTGCTTCATCGATAAGTGATGGCTGCAAATTCCTAAAAATTAAACTTTTTTGTAATTTTGCTTTTATTCGAATATTAATAAATATCATAAATATAAATTTACCCTATTACTGCTTTGAGACAGAATGTCATTACGTGAATATCATATGGCGATATATCCTTGAATGGATTAAGAGATTCTTTGGCCAATTTTTTCATTTCAAGTACATCACCATCAATAGTGTATAATCCTCTTTCTCTCATTCCAGATTTTTCCACTTCTTGTATTACTCTTTTCATAATTACATTTACCTTTAACCGTTGCTAAATGGAATTTAATTTTTTTTAATTAAATTACTTTAAAAACATTTATTTCGGGTGCGTAAAATTATTTTATTCATTTCGTGAAAACTTTTTCAAGATTTATAGTATTTATAAACTTTCTTTTATCTCAGAAAATAAATGCAACAGAGATTGAATATTGATTGATTTTATTAATATGACTAATTACATTTCCGAATGGAGTCAATGTTTCACGTTATATTTTGAATTGTAACAAATATGAAATTTAATTTATTGATTAACATGAGCAACTAATGAAATCCAATTATAGTCTTGATAGAAATTTTCTATTTTAAATTTTGGCGTCAATAAAGAAACAGGAAGTTTTGATTCTATGTTTTCATACAATTGTTCTTTTCTTTACATAAAAAAATTTCATTTATAGTTCGAGCCCTGTGTGGTAAAGTTAAATCTCATAAAATAGTAATTTTGTTAAACTTACTTCTTTGGTAAAAGGTGGTACACCGATTACTAGATCAATGGTAAAGAAAAGTAGAAGTAAAAGATATTTTAAAGACGTCATTTTTCTGAAAATTGAATTTAATATTTTCACTGATGTTGTGTTTTAAGCTATAATGTTATGTTGAACAAATTGTGTTAAATATTAGAGTTTACTACTCAATTATATTTCAACAAAAATACTCAACAAACGCCTGCAGTGAAGTCTTTTAAAGGCATGTGCTATTAAGAAAAAAAATAATAACTTACTAATAAAAAGTTTATATTTGGTATGCATATTTATTTCTTTTCTGCATTACAGTGATAATACTATTAGAAATTTACTAAAAATTCATGACTTTGAATTCGAAAAATTGAAAATTTTACTTTTTACTGCTTTAAAATTTTGTTTAAAAAATTAAATCTTCTGGGTATTTTGTATAATTTTTATAATTAATTTTCGAAAAAATTGTTTTTTCGATTGTTTTTTTTTAATGTAATTAGGGAAAATGGGCAAATGCCCATTCGAGTTATGAATTTTCGTAGTTTTTGCTTTTAAAATTAAACCCATTCTTGAAGCCATATAATTCTAAATAATTGTATCTAATTATAATTGAAGCAAAGAAAACTGAAAAATAGCGACTTTTTGACATTTAGACAAACGTAAAGCCTTAACTACTAAATAGATTTGTAAAATACTGTGAAATATTATTAATTGCGTTAAAATATCGAGATATAACATATTTCACGAAAGTTCAATACACTTTATAATTTTTTGAAATATTAAATAAATTTTTCTGCAAAAAATTGAATTTTTTGAAAATTAATCAAACGTAGAACCTAAAATACTACACTCTAAATCTGAATCAGTAAAAATTTCACTGATTTCAATTCAGTGGCCCAGTTTTCTTTAATTCATCAGTGGGATTTCACTGAGAATCAGTAAAAACCACTGATTGTCAGTGAAATTCCACTGATGACTATTAAATAACTTTTGCTTTTAATCTTTCGAAGAAATTAACGTTTTTTATAACGTTCATAGAATCTTTTTAATTTTATTTTTTTGTGGAATTGATATTTCTTACAAGAATTAAGGAAAAAAAATATGTTTACAGATTTTAATTCGAATTTTATAATTAATTAAAATAATGAATGCCAAAGTAAGAAATTTACTACTGAAATGGAATCGAGGAAAAATTTTGTTGAAATGTTTAAAGGTACTAATATCATTTTTTTAAAAAAATTTTTTACGCATAAAGCAGTTTTTTTGTTTAATTAAAGTAAAATATTATTAATGTAATAATAAAAATAAAAGTTCATTTTCACTCGAATAGCAAATAAAAATGTAAAACATTATTTATTTCATATCGTATTTTCTAAATATTCAAATAAAAATGTTCCTTATGATTTTAACCTTATTAACTAAGTCAAAGAGTAGCGTAGCCCACGAGCAACTTGCAAGCGAATTTTGAAAAATATTATAAACTCCTTAAACTCAAATTGGCCCATCTTGGGACTCTTAGGAAAATTTTCTGTATATAATCAGATATAAATAAATAAAGAAAAAATTTAAATTAATTATATCCAAATTTTTTAAAAATTAATTTGTTTATAAAAAAAACTTTTTAAATTACTTAAAAGTTGAAAAAAACCAAAATTTTCTTTCATTGATAACTTTTTTTATAAACTCAATACTTTCAAAGTTATAAGCTACTGAAAGTAGGTCTATACTTTTAAAAATCATAAATTTTGAAAATTCATAACTCGAAAATTTGGTCAATTATACAAAAGTGAAAAAATACGTATTTAATATTTTTCTATAAAGAACGAGGAAAAAAAAATATGTTTAACCGATTTTAAAATGTCATAGAAAAATTTCACGTGGAATTCTATATAATATTCCATATAATATTTATAGTTATTTCATTTCTTTTCGTTGTATACAGAGATATAACGATTTTAAAAATTCTTCATTTTGCTTTGACTTTCAAACATTCGGAACATTGAAAAATATTATTTTATTGCAAATTTTTGTTTTTTTAGTAGCAAGCATTGAATGCGGCAAATAGAAAGATATAGAATAATATTTGTTTTTAAACTTAAAAATTCCTTCTTATCTTCATTTATTAAAAATTTTTCAAATTTATTTTATGTACACATTTACTGCTTTAAAACTTTGACTCTAAAAAAGAAGACAGAAAACCCTAGTGTAATAATGGGTTAAAATATTACTTAAAAAATATTTTTTAAGAATTGCAGAAAAAATTTCAAATTTATATAGGTGTCATCCTTCAAGTCTCATTATTAATTTGAAAAAGGAGTCTTTATTCTTAAAAAAATTTCAATATTTACGCAGGTGTACATATGAGCATGACATAAAAAAGTATATAAAATATTAATAGTTGTTGTATACAGAGATATAACAATTTCATAAATTCTTCAAGAATTAATTGTTTTGACTTTCAAAAATTCGAAACATTGAAAAGTACTACTTTATTGTAAATTTATATTTTTTTATTAGAAAATATTAAATGCGACAAATAGAAAGATATAGAACAATACTTGTTTTTAAACTCTAAAATTTGTGCTTCTCTGTATTTATTAAAAAAATTTCATTTTATTTCATGCACATTTGTTGCTTTAAAGTTTTGACTTTAAGAAAAATATATAAAGCAGATAATCAGAGACCCTGAAAACTCTGATATAATAATGCGTTAAAAATTTAAAATATTAGGAATTAATAATAGAAAATATATTTTGCTTGCAATTCTTTATTTACAATATTAATAATACAATATTTTATATTGGGATATCAATTATTAATTTATTTCCCATAATTTTAATTAACCAAGACAGTTTTAATAAGAAAAACATTTATAAAAAAGAGTAATTTATTTTATAATTTATTATATATTACTTTTTACTGAAATGAGAGTGAATTATAAAAACCCAATTTTTACACTCAACGTAGTTGTATGTGGGAATGCAAAATAAGGTTCATTAAGGTCATGAATAATCTAAAGGGCCTTAATAGTATCTAAATAAGCTTTTACAAAATTACTTTACTTGGTTGAATTATTAATTAATACAAAAAAGCGTCCTTGGCAGTCGCTCGATTTGTCTCACGGGTATCAATGTACTTGTAGATTGTAACTTAGATTTATCTACCTAATATAATAGATAGGTAATTAAAATTCTGGAAAATATAGTTATTAAGTTTAACTTATTCAACAGTTTTAAAGTTTAAAATTTTATCTCCTTTTTTGTTGATTTATCTGCAGTAGACAGTCTTTCCATGTCGTCATCTTTATTTGCTTTTAAGGAATCTTCAAAAGCCTGTTGTCAAAATAGGAAATCAGAAATAAATATAATTTACTCATACTTTAATTAGAAAATTATTTTACTTCATTAAATTACAAAGATAAAATGTGATTCAAAAATTTTATAGATGTCACAGTATTTTTAGAATGCTGATCATGGATCTTTATTTGTAAATGAGATAAAGAATCTTGCAGTAAATTCTTCTCAAAGGTAATCAGAATTACAGTAATGGTTTTTTAGCTACTACTATCCTTTGAATGATGTAAATTCACATTTTTTTGAGACGATCAAATTAAGACAAAAAACGTATCAGAATTGTTGCGATGCAACGTTTTGTTGCTATAATGGTTTTAATTTCAGAATCTTCTTGAAAAACTGTGAAATATTTTTAGATTGAACCCTAAACAGAGCTGCGTTTGTATCATTAAGGAAGTAATGTCTTGATCCGCAAGTCTAGACTACTAGGAATCAGTATAACGTTTAAATACACAATTCTTAAAATCAATTATTTACTTTAAATTTTAAAATTACTTTAACACTATGTATTTTTGAAATTTCGATTTTTCTGATGTGAGAAATTCAACAATAAAAGATCTTCATTAGTCGATCAGTTTCCTCAAGGGTATCAAAGTACTCATAGATTGTAACTTAAATGTATCTTCTTCATATAACAGATAGGTATTCAACATATTATAAATTTTTTTTTCAAGTTTAATTTTTAAAGATTGAAACTTTACCTTTGATTTTGACGATATACCTCGATTAAAAAGTCTATTGATTGCTTCATCTATATTCGAATTCAAGAGATTTTCAGGAACCTGTTCGTAAAATGAGAAATAAGATAGTTTACTTTCTGTTACGTGATATAATAATTAATAATTATGCTGATAAAATAATTTTTTATACTACAAGCACAAACGTAGGGCTTGTAGATAGCGGAAGGTAGAGAATGAAGTCATGCAATAAAGCATAAAAATGGCGACAATGTTTTCCTGATAATAAGAAGGAAACATTTTTACCATAGACACCCTTTTTGTTCACTTCTGTTACAAGAATCACTGTCTTAAGCTGTTATTGTCTAATATACATACACTCGAGATGCTATAAACTTTAGAGATCCGCTGTGAGTCGCAAGTGATTTCTTTTTGACCCTAGATTGACTCATGATGACTCCCAAGTAATTCCTGCAATCTTCCTCCATGAATTTCTTCGAATCACACTCACTCACTTCTTCTGTTACTTCGGAGTCAAAATGAGTCATATGGAATACACTAAAAAGTGAACAGCCTCTCGTTATTACCTCATTTGAAGCTGAAGATTCTTGACGAGGAGCACCACCCCAGGCACCTTCTTCTTCCCCTGAATTTGTAGATTCATTGATCTGAAGAAGAAGAAAATAAAGTTATAAATTTAAATTACTATCCACTAAATGAGAATCGCCAGCAAATTAATTAATTCTAATCTCCTTTATCTATACTTACAGTCGATTCATAATTAACTAATGACTCCCAATAACTTGATGGAATATTTAAAAGTATCAGAACAATCTAAAACAGAAATGAATGAAAAGCTATTGTTATTGAATTTCAAAAGTAAAAAATTGTTTAAAATATTTATCTACATTTATTTTTGTTGGATCTGAAACCATTTCTTCCATAGTATCATAACCAAGATGCATCAAAATCGGTCCAAAGACTGCAGCAATCACCACATCAGTCATTGTATTTATCTCATATTGTTTCACTACGCTTTGCAAATGTATCATTAAATAAGCAAGAGTATTTCGAGTATCTTGTGGAAGATCGAATAATATTTCCGACATTTTATTTTTTGATTCTTGGAAATTTTTCATTTTCATGACAGCTTGCAGTTTTAAGAAAGTTTCTTTATCTATAAGTGATGGTCTCAAATCTCTAAAAATCAAATTCTTTGAAATTTTGGTTTTATACTGTAACATTACAAAATGTTATGAATATAAATTTACCGTAAAAGTGATTTGAGATATGATGTAATTACATGAACACCATATTGCAATATTTTCATGTTTGGATCAAGACAATCTCTTGCCAACTCTAGCACATCAGCTGAATTAGCTTTGACATAATATAATCCTTCTTGTCGTAATCCAAACTTTTCCACTGCTTCTATCAATCGCTTTGTAATTGGATGTACCGTAAACTTATTGTTTCTGGCAAGGTGAGCGAATGTATCCTAATTGTTGTCAGTTTTTGTAAAATTTGTTAATTTCGCATAGAAAATAAAAAAACGCTGCTAAATGGTTCGTTAATTTTTTTTTTAACTTAAATTAATCAAATACATTTATTTTAGATATGCAACCATGCTTTTCTCAATTGTGACCATAGTCAAAATATAGAAATTTTTATACTTAAACTAGTTTTCTCGTTGGTCATGTTTTGATAGATTTTCGGACATGGTTAAAATATGAATATTTTGTTAAAATATGAATATTGTTGGGGTTTAAAATATACTTACGGTTGATTCAAAATTTATCAATGCCTTCAAGTAACTTGTTGGAATTTTTAAAAGTATCTCAATAATCTATAATAGAAATGAAAGAAAAACTATTGTTGTTCAACTTAAAATTCTGTGCTTAAGATTAATAAATTTAAAAATAGTTAAATATAACACTACCTTCTCTTTGTCGGTATCAGCTATCAACCCTTCTTCACCTTCATAATGCATTAGAATAAGTGAAAAAATTGAAGCAATTTTCTCCTCTGTCATTTCGTTTATCTCGTGCAGTTCCACTACTTTTTCCAAATGTATAATTAAATAAGCAACAATATTTAGAATATCCTGCGGAAGTTGAGATAATATTTTTAACATTTTATTTTCGGATTCTTTCAAACTTTTTAATTTTGTAGCATCTAGTAATTTTCTGTACGTTGCTTCATCGATAAGTGATGGTTCCATACCCCTAAAAATTAAACATTTTGTAATTATGCTTTTATTAGAATATTAATAAATATAAATAATAAAAACTTACCCTATTACTGTTTTGAGACAGTATGTAATTACGTAAATACTATATGTCGATATATTCGAGTTTGGATTGAGACATTCATTGACCAAATTTTGCATTTCATCTTCATCAGCATTAATAGAATATAATTCTCTGTTTTGCATTCCAGATATTTCCACTTCTTCTATTAGTCTTTTAATAATTGTATTTTCCTTTGACCGATGCTAAATGGTTATTGAATTTTCTTTTTCATTAAATTAATTGAAACACAAACAGGTGCTAACCTTCTTTTATTTATTTCATAAACATTTAATCTAATGTAAACTTTTTTTTATTTTACTTTGACTGACTTATGAATTGAATTCGATATAACTAATATTATAAAAAACAGGAAAATTAGATATCAATTTATCTTAAAAAAAGTCGTTCTAAAGGAAATGTGAATTACTTTATCTGTACCTACACTATATTATTTATTTACCTTCAAGTAACTTGATAGAGTATTTGGAATTTTTTCTTCGATCTAAAATAGAAAAAAATTAAGATTTGTAACTTTTACAACTTTTATTTAACTCGTATTTGAAATTGCTAATATTGGTCATAAGAGGTAATTTGTAAAACATGTAAATACCTTATTTGAAGCCAAAGAATCACCTTCTTTTTGTACATTTGAGTTTTCAATATTGGATTCACTATTCTAAGGAAGAAGAAAATAAGACTTTAAATTATAATAATTACTACCGACTACAACAAATTATAAAATCTGTTTTATTATTTAAAATCACTGTACTGATACCAACGAAATATCCATACAATTTTTAACGGAATCTCAAGGAAATGTAAATTACTTTATTCATACTTACAGTCAATTCATAATTTATCAATTTCTCCCAAAATATTGATGGAATTTCCAAAAGTTTCATAATGATCTACAATAGAAATGAAAGAAACTATTGTATTTTAATTTAAAAGTGAATAATTGTAATTAAAATTTATAAAATTAGATACTAAAAAAAGATTACATACCTCCTCTTTTTTGGAATTAATTTTCCGTTGTCCTTGTTCAACATGATCAAATTTCATCAATGGAGATCTAAAGGCTTTAGCAATTATCTTCGGAGTCATTCCGTTTATCTCCTGTAGTTTCACTACTTTTTTCAAATGTTTCATTAAATAAGCAAGAGTGTAACGAATTTCTTGCGGAAGGTCGGATAATATTTCTTTCATTTTATCTTTTAATTCTTCCGAATTTTCAATTTTCAAGGCATCTGAGAGTTGATTGAATGTTTCTTCATCGATAAGTGGTGGTTCCAAATTCCTAAAAATTAAACTTTTTTGTAATTTTGCTTTTATTCGAATATTAATAAATATCATAAATATAAATTTACCCTATTACTGCTTTGAGACAGAATGTCATTACGTGAATATCATATGGCGATATATTCGAGTTTGGATTGAGACATTCATTGGCCAACTTTCTCATTTCAGCTTTATCACTATCAATAGAGTATAATCCTTCTTTTTGCATTCCAGATTTTTCCACTTCCTCTATCACTCTTTTAATAATTGTATTCACCTTCGACTGTTTCTAAATGGTTATTTAATTTTCTTTTTAATTAAATTAATTCAAAAACAATCATTCTGAGTGCTAACATTCTTGTATTTATTTCATGAACGTTTTATAAAATGTTTCAGATATTACTTTTATTTGAATATCTACGCTAGATTATGTATTTACCTTCAAGTTACTTGATAGATTATTTGGAATTTTCTCTTTGCTCTACAATAGAAATGAAGGGAAAACTATTTTTATTCAATTTTAAAATTAAAACATTATGATTTTTAATTTTTTGAAGTTTTGTTCAACTCGTATTTGAAATTGCTAATATTGTCCATAAGATGTCATGTGTAAAACATGTAATTACCTTACTTGATGCCAAAGAATCACTTTCTCCTGCTTCATCTGAGTTTTCAACACTGGATTCACTATTCTAAGGAAGAAGAAAATAAAACTATAAATTATAATAAAATTAATTACAATCAAATAAAACAAATTCACTAGAAAAAAAATCCTAGTGAAATCGACAAAAGATGCATAAAATTCTCACGGAATTCCAAAGGCATGAATTACTTTATTTATACTTATAGTCGATTCATAATTTATCAATGTCTTCCAAAAACTTGATGGAATTTCCAAAAGATACTTAATGATCTACAAAAGAAGTGAAAAGAAACTATTGTTATTTAATTTTAAAACGAAAAATTGTAATTGAAATTTATAAACATAGATATTAAAAAATATTTAATAACCTCCTCTATTTTGAAATTAATTTCCCGTTGTTTTTGCCCATCTAGTTCAATTTTCATCAAAGGAAATCTGAACGCTTTAGCAATCATCTTCGGTGTCATTCCGTTTATCTCCTGTAGTTTCACTACTTTTCTCAAATGTCTCATTAAATAAGCAAGAGTGTAACGAATTTCTTGCGGAAGGTCGAATAATATTTCTTTCATTTTATCTTTCAATTCTTCCGAATTTTCAATTTCCAAGGCATGTGAAAGTTGATCGAATGTTCCTTTATCGATAAGTGGTGGTTCCAAATTCCTAAAAATTAAACTTTTTGAAATTTTACTTTTATTCGAAATTTCGAATATTAATAAATATAAATATAAATTTACCCTATCATTGTTTTGAGACAGTATGTCATTACGTGAATATCATATGGCGATATATTCGAGTTTGGATTGAGACATTCATTGGCTAACTTTCTCATTTCTGCTTTATCACCAGGAATAGAATATAATGCTATTTTTTGCATTCCAGATTGTTCCACTTCTTCTATCAATCTTTTAATAATTGTATTTATCTTTGACCGTTTCTAAATCGGATTTAATTTTTTTTATTGAAATTAATTTAGAAACATTTATTTTGGGTGCGTAACATTATCTTCATTTCGTTCATAAAGTACTACAGTAAATCATAAAATAGTAATTTGTAAACTTACTTCTTTGGTAGTAGGTGGGATACCGATTATTAGATCAATGGTGAAGAAAAGTAGAAGTAAAAGATATTTTAAAGAGGTCATTTTTCTGAAAATTGAATTCAATATTTTCACTTATGTTGTGTTTTGAGGTATAATATTATTTTTAACAAATTGGGTGAAATTTTAGAGTTTACTACTCGATCGTATTTTAACAAAAATACTAAAAAAATGCCTACAGTGGATTTAGACATGCGCTTTCACAAGAAGGAAATAACTTACTTATCAAAAATTTATGGTTGGTGTGTACACTTCTTTTCTGCATTACAGTGATAATACTATTAGAAATTTTCAGAAAATTCATGACTTTGAATTTTGAAGAATTTAATATTTTACTTTTTACTGCTTTAAAATTTGTCTTTAAAGAATTGACTCTACTGGGTATTTTGCATAATTTTTATAAATAATTGAAAAAATTGATTAAGCATGACGTTTTCACGTCATTTTTCATAAAAAACATTTCTGAGAAAAGTCTTTTACTAATTGTAAGAGTAGGTTCAATATCTAACACTTCAAATTCATCCCATTTTATAAAATGTGAAATAGAATCATTTTTGAAATTTGTTAAGTGATTACAACATTATCAATTGGAACATTAGTGAATAAAGAGGATATGTATCGAGAGACATCATCTCATAATCCTAAGGAATTTTTAAATTTGAAATTGATTCTTTAAAAGTAAATGAATTTTTTATATAAGAAGAAAGTTTTGATAAAGATTTAGCTAAAATTTCGGTGAACGTTTTTGACATAAAATAAGTAGGAGATTTTATAGTCGAAACAACTGGTCTGAGTGGACAATTTTCTTTATGAATTTTAGATAAACCATAAAATCTTGCAATATTAGTGTTGGAAGTAATTATATCTATTAGACAAATAATATTTTTCTATTGTTGTTGTAATTAATTCCCAAGTGACAAGGAGTTTGGATCGTTTTGTGAGTGAGTTGCTTCTTCATTAAGTGAGATAATCGAATGACATATTTGTTGTGAATTCGAGGGAGACTAAATCCTCTTCAACGCAAATAACAAATCTGCACGTAGAAGTGACGTGACATGAGTGCACGGAGAATTCTCATCGGTAAGTTTCCATAACGAACGCCCTATCAGCGGGTTGAGATCAAATTATAAAGTCGGATATATATATGTACACATCCACGCGTACGTGCACTCTGCAATGCTGAGTAACAGGTCCACCCTACTTCACTATTATAAGTGACATGTGCGTGTCTTAACGATGATGGATTTTATTTTTGCTTTCTCCAACTTTCAGCGCACCCTTCTTTTATTAAGAATCTATAAACTTCTCTGGGAAAAATTAGTTGTAAATCGTTTCTTTTTATTGCAATAATCAAATTTTAACTAAATCAGGGCTTTAAACAGTGGAACTAGTATTTAAAACTGTACGGATGTTACGGACGAAAAATGAAAAATTACGAACCATTTATGGACCAATTACTGACAGAAATATAACCAAATTTTGAACTTTTAACAAAATCACATGTATAGTTGAAAATTTAAATCCAAATTTCTTTTAGAACCCTTTAATACTGTAAAGGGTTCTAAAATTTCTACCGGGCAGAAGGTCTGCATAAAGGAATATTTAAAATTTCAAGAATATTTTATCAAAATCGATTTTTTCAAGCACAAAAGCTTACTTTTATACGTGAAAAAATCGATTTTGATAAAATATTAATAACAAACTTTGACAACAAAATTTTGATAAAATATCATAAAAAATAATTAAATTAATTTAGATTTTTTTCGGGAAACAGTTTCAGGGTTGTCACAAAAATTTAATTTTGTTTTTCTCTCACTTTTCCCTGATTTTTAGACAAAATTTTGACTTTTTCCTCGAGACTAAAGAATATTCTAATTCACTCCCAAAATTATTGGATACTCCAAAAAAATGTTATTTTACATTTATTTAAAAATTTGTCTAATTGATTATAATTAAATTTAAAAGCCAAATCTTTTTGAAATTCAAAAACAATATAAGAATACTATTATAAAGATGAAAAAACTTATAAACTCTGAGTTGAAGACTCGGAGTGATCAATTTCTTCATTTTTTCAAATAATTAAAGATAACCGAGTGATAAAATTATTATTTTATAATTTATATTTATAAAAAGAATTTTGTAACTGTAACTCCTTCAAAATTATTTTCATCACTTCAATTTAAATACAAAAATAAATAACTTATTCAATAATTAAATATTTCTTAAAATTGAATTCTCATAAAGTACTTTATAATAACAAATTTATAAATAATTAAATTCTTTTGACGTATTTTAATAAAATTTTCAAGAATAATTATATTTTTCAAGGAATTCGAATAAAATTGTATTAAAAATAATTTAAATTCTGCAATGAGTTTTATTATTTATAAAAATAATTGAATTCCTAAAAAGAAATTTATTATTTATGAAAATAATTGAATTGTTGTGAAGAAAATTAAAAATTTGTAAATAATTGAATTCCTGATAAAGTAACTTTTACTACTTTTGTAGTAAAAAATTTCCGTTAAAGCATTTCTGGTAATTTTTATACTACTTCTGGAGTAAATTTTGCTACGTTCGAAGTAAATATTTGTAGAAATTAGTAATATTTACTTCGAAAGTAGCAAAATTTACTCCAAAAGTAGTAAAAATTACCAGAAATGCTTTACCGGAAATTTTTTACTATAAAAGTAGTAAAAGTTACCTTATATTTTTCTCCGTGTGGCAAATTTTTATTATTTATGAAAATAATTAAATTTTTTATTAGAATTTTATTAAAAAATTTTTAAATAAATGAATTCTTTTCAAAAACTTTATTAAAATAATAGATATTGAAAACCATTCAATTAAGGAACATTTTTTTAAATAATTGAATTTTGGAGAAAGAATTTTATTTCTTTATAAAGAAAATTTAAATTTTTACGAGAATTTTATTATATTTTTGAATTATTTATATTATATATTTAGAATATTATAATTATTAAAACTTGATACTATCATTATTTTACATTATAAAAATATTATTACTGTAATTTCTTCAAAATTATTTTCATTTCAATTGAATTCTTCATTTATAGAATCTTAAACTAAAATTCTTCTTTAAATCAATTTTTTTTAATAATAATTTTTGAAAAAGTTGTTTTTTGAGAATTTTTAAATCCATTTGTTTGCAATTCAATTTTACCTAAAATTTCAATTATTCTGACATTCTTCATATATTAGAAATTAAAAACTTTAAATAATTAAAAAAAATTCCATTAAACTTTTTGAGAAAAATTAATTCTAAATTTCCTTAAAAATTTTGACAAGAATTTGATTATTTTTATAGATAATAAAATTATTCACAGGAATTCAATTATTCTCAAAAATTTTGAATAAAATTTTTTGAAATAATTCAATTATTTTTAAAATTGACAAAATTCTTCGCAAGAATTCAATTACTTTCAAAATTGATAAAATTCTCCGCAAGAATTTAATTTTTTTCAAAAGTGATAAACTTCTTCGTAAATATTAAATTATTTTCAATATGTATTAATTTTTTACGTAATTTCGATTATTCTGAAATTCTTCAATTAAATATATATTAGAAAATAAAAACTTGAAGAATTAAAAAAAAATGTAATTAAACTTTTTTAAAAAATAAATTCTTCAGATTTGTTAATTAAAAGTATGAAAAGTTCAAATTTTCAAAGATTTTAATTTGAAACCTTTTGGAAATTCAATTATTTCTAAAAATTTACTCTATATTGCTTTCAATATTCAATAATAGTCTAAAATTTAAACTGTAATTAATTTTTAAATTAATATTTACTAAAAAAAATCCATGAGAATTCAATTATTTAAATACAAAATTAAATATTTTATTAAATAATTTAATGTTTCTTGAAATTGAATTTTCATCAAAGAATTGTATCAACAAATTTTTAAATAATTGAATTCTCGTGACAAATTTTAATAAAATTTTTAAGAATAATTTTATTTTTTGGAAATTTGATGAAAATTTTAATTAAAAATAATTGAATTTCTCCAAAGAATTTTTTAAGACTTTTTGAAAATAATTTTAATTTTGACAAGAATTTTATTAAAATTTTTGAAAATAATTGAATTCCGGAGAAAAATTTTTAAAGATTATTGAAATTTTGACGAGAATTTTTGTAAATTGTTGTACACAATTAAATTTCTGCGAAGAATTATATTACTTTTGAAAATAATTGAATTCTTGAGACAAATTTTATTAAAATGGCTTTTTAAATAATTGAATTCATTTATGAAATTTTATTGAAATAGTAGACATTGAAAATAATTTAATTTTTGAAATTTTTAAAAATTTCTGTGAAGAATTTTATTAAAATTATTTTGAAAAAAAATTGAATTATTACAAAGAATTTTATTAAAATTTTTGAAAATAATTTAATTTTTTAAAGAAATTTAATTAAAACTTTATATAGAAAATAATACTTAAATTCTAATAAATAAATTGTAGCAAAAGTTTTTAAAATAATTGAATTTCTTTGATGAATTTTAATAAAATTTTTAAGAATAATTTCATTTTTCGAGGAATAATTGAAATTTTGCCATGAATTTTATTAAAATTGTTGGAAATAATTGAATTTCTAAGAAGAATTTTACTACTTTTGAAAATAATTGAATTTCTGCAATCATTTGTAATTGCTTCAAAATTCAATTTTTTTAGTGTTTTTAATTAAAATTCTTCTATAAATCCATTATTTTTAATAATCAATTAAAAATATATATTAAAAAATTTAACTGATTTCAGAAGAATTTGAATAATTAAAATTTTTCAAAAATCTCCATTCTTTAAGACAATTTCTAATTAAATTCATTGAAAATTGAAATTTTACAAAATTTAAAATTAAAATCTTTTGAAATTCATCTGTACTGATGAAAATTGTAAGCGCAACTTTTTTAAAATTTAATTAATTTTGAAATATTTATATTAAATTAGATTTCAAGAATAAACTTTAGAAAATAACAATTTTCCAGGATTTCGTTCAAAATTCCCTGACTTTTCCAGGTTTTTTCAAGGTTTATAAAATTCCCTGACATTTCCTGGTTTTCCAGGTTTCCAGGTTGCGTGGCAACCCTGCTAACACATCAATGTTAATTATAATATTGAAACAAGATAACTAATAATATTAGTAGGTAAATTTGTAAAAAACAAATTGACTGCAGAAGAAAAT